ACAGAGCTTCCATGTTTCACAACCTGACACCTATCAGTCAAATAAGAGGAAAACATTTGTATTTCAGATGATGAAAGTTGAAAAGAAATCAACTTTTGTAAGAGAGTATATTGATCAACTGTGTCAAAYGCTTTACGGAAATCAATATRTACAGCACCAAGATTTTCTTGYCTGAGGTTAAATGATTTTCAGTCCCGGGGTTCAGTTTCATGATTGTTCAAGTTTAAACAATAAAAACTCAAACTAAAATAAAATCTAACACCATGCTCAGATGCTCCTTACATCCAGAAAACACAACAGAGTCATATTTCTGTGGATTCAGGTCAGATTCATGACTTTGTGGGTTAAAACTGTCGACTGAAAAACTTTGCGTGGCTGCCTCACATTCTCACGGCAGGTGAAAACGTTGTACGCAACGTTGGCTTTGATACATCCCAACGTGGGCGTAGAACCTGGCGCATGCAACTTTTTTGTGCGTACGCACCGTTTATACATGAGGGCCCAGGATCTGATCATTGCTTTAGAGGTCCTATCATTCTTGTTTTATCCCCATAAAGACAAATGTCTGAATTTAATTGTTCTATAAAACAATCTTGTTTGTGGGTCCACTAACCCAGAGACAAACTAACCACAGTCAACTCATCTCTGTGTCACTGGATTTGGCGACCCCCTAACTTTGCAGCAGCAGTAGATTAGGTTCCATGTCTCTGGCCCACAGAGAGCCTGCGATAAATCCASCTCGATGTTTCATAACCAGGCTGCATTCTTGTCGTCCTGTGGAAATAAATGTCTACAGTCACGGATCCTCCGGGTGTCAGGTTTTACGCTTGGCGTCCCAAGCCCCACGGTGTGATTCACTTCATAACAACTTACTATTTAAAGGTGGGAATGCCTCSCCCCCAGCCTCCAGTCCTCACCCTGCCACCTGCCTCTCTGCGTCTGTCCCCTCAGTGACAGACAGGCTGCTCCTCTTCCTTTAACCCCTCCGTCTTGATCTTAGTCCGGCTCTTGCGTCTGTACTGTGCACTTCCACCTCACCTGGATTTTTGCTCCCTACCTGCCTCTTTCTTGTTGGATCTATTGGATCTAACCTGCCCGTTCGACCCTCCCACCGTGATTAACCCTTTAAAGCCCAGACGATGGCAGAGGGTGCGTCTCCTGAGGATTACTGTGACGAGCCCGCGGAGGACGAGTTCGGAGAGATCATCAAGTGCCGTTCTGGTAGGACATCAAAGCTCTCTCTCTCTCTCTGTGTGTGTGTGTGTGTGTGTGTGTGTGTGTGCGTGCGTGCGTACGTGCGTGCGTGTGTGTGTGTGTGTGTGTGTGTCCAGAAGTCTGCTGACCCATATGGTGCTGAATGAAATATCAAAAGCCAGCTGCCTGCTGATGCTGATCAGGGGCTGCACAGAAGAGGTCATCCAAAACTTTTCCAAGAYACTAAATGATGCAGAATTTAGTCAAAAAGTTGAAATTGTCACCTTTAGACTACTGGTTCATGTGTTGCACAATAGACCCTTTAAGTCTATTTTTAGGACTATCAGTGGTRTAAATGGGATAAAGGAACTGGTTTGACTCTGTATCCCTGCTTGGTTTGTTTAGMTTAAACTGCTGTTTTTTTTCCTCACACGATTCTGTGATTTCACTTGGTTATTTGTTTTTTTATTGCCTGTAGAGAAAAGAAGTCAGCAGTAATGTTGAATACTTGGCCCTTCAGTCAGACTCCGGTGGTCTTGGTTTAAAGATAAAAACATGCGATACTGCGCATCATGTGACTGGCGTCAAGTTTTGTCCTGTAGGAAGAYCATTTCCTGTGGTTACGTTATAATTAACAGCTGCCTTGAAAAGTGTTTCATGTGTGTAAAATCTCAAATGAACAAGCGGACAAACTTTAGCAAAACTCTTATAGAGTGGGCGTGTTGTAGATACTGAGCTAAAATTAGTTGTGGTAGTAGCTGAGACTCATTCCTATCACATCCAAGTGTGTAATATATGTATATTATATTGTATTATGGTGGGCATGGTTCAGCTAATCAGTCAAAAGCTAGCAGCTAATAGTGGAACTAAATTTTCATTTAGTTGATTAGCTTATTCGCTAATTTTGAAAAACCTTAGCAGAGCAATTATATTCTGCTAAATGAYGTTTTTCCATCTTTAAATCTGCTAACAGCTATATAACAAGCTAACATCAACAGGTTTCACCAGTCCTCAGCTGGAAGGAGACAAGACCTTAGCAATTAACTGGTTTTTTTTTTTTTTTTGCATGTTTAGCAGTTTAGCATTAGGGAAGCTATAATTTTAGTTAGCTGAAGCTAACCTTTTTGTTATCTGTGTGTAACCTTCAGTGTTACTTCGTGTCACCAGGTTTAACCAAGTGTTGTTGAAATCAGGTCACAGACACAGGACTTCTCTTCAAAATCCTTCACTGGTGGGATCTGGTTTAATAAACAGAACAAATCAGGGTGTTCCACTGCATGCCGGAGTCTGCACCAGCTTCCATTGTTGTTTTTCTTTGTATGTGATCATATTGTGCAGGGCCATTTAACTGGCAGCCCGCAGGCCACATCCAGCCCACGAGTGACCACAGTTCGGCCCGCTAATTAGTTTGTAAGAAAAATACATGTTCAATTCGACTGAAGTCAAGATGAAAACACCATTGTAAAATAAAATGATTTGTGGAAGGAATAAAACCATACAACACCAGAATTCTGGAACCGAGTGAGGTTTAATTGTCACCGGCTGACAAGGAAAACCACACTGGCCAAAAGCCAGGAAGTGCATCGATTTATACATGATTCTTCAACGCCTGAGTTCGCCCCCTACTGACCTACGGCTGAATCACAGACATTCATCCAAAAATCTCAACCTAATGTTATAATAATGTTTCACTTATGTGTTGTTTATAATTCGGACATGTAACTACTCTATATCAATTAACACATAATAGATCAAACATTATAAAAAAGCAAACCCTAATAATCCAGTGTTGTGTTTCTAACATCAGTACTAGCCTATAATAACTATAAATTTCTTCAAGTTCATTCATCTCTTAAGCCCAAACCCTCGGTTTTCTACTTTAATTACTCTAAGTTCTTTTMGTTAAACATAGACATGTTTGTTATCTACAGAAACATCAGAATCTCAGCTAGAAGCTGGTAAAAACATGCCAATGCACATCAGTTAAAATAAAACTATGAAAGAGAAAATAAAATTTGTTTAAAAATTTGTCAAGTCAGAGATGTCAAAATAATTTTTCTGTCAAATTGGAGGCATAATTTGTTATTTTTGTTTTTGATATTGTTTAATTATCACTACTTTTAAAGAGTTCTGTATGTTGTATTCATGGTTAAATGCAGCAAAATAAACTATTTCAAAGGTAACAGATCTTTGTAATACTTGGTTTATTTACATAATATCTTTAATTGCTGGATGTTTGGCCCCTCAGCTGTTGACCTGCAGTAACTGTGGCCCCCGGAGGAGCAATTTAGTTGCGCTGGTGTAGTGTTTTTATTTTATTTTATTTTATTTAAAAATATTCAATTAATCTTTTTACATTTCAGGGCAAAACTTATTTTCTTTCTTCATAAAACATTTGAAATAGGCCTACAATTAACAGTGTAAAACAACAGATTAACAGTAACTGCAAGAGCAGATTTAACTGCGACCTGACATTTACTGTGAGGTGTAGAAACCACGACTTCTGGTTAAAGTGGAACTGCTGTTGCTCAATTGAAGAGAAGACTCTGAAAACAGGCTGGTTGAACAGCAAGAATCTTTATTTTTTGCACTCCTGGAGATTACAGCCAAAAACCAAATTGTGGCCTTCAATGCCAAATGATTCACCAAGTAAGAAAGATGGAGAACGAAGGCCAAGAGCAGGGGCGTACAAGGCTCTTCATAGGCTTTCACAGATATACCATAAATCTTGTCATGGTATACCTTAAGCGTTCTTCTTCCTAATATGGTCAAATGTGCCGAGCTCTAAAGCTAGAGACTAAGAGACCTCACATCTGTGCATTCCTGAGAAGAGGCCCCCCACTCTTTGGACACTACAACAGTTATAACTGTAAAACTTTTATCAGATTTTTAAAATAAATACACACATTTGAGTCTACCTGGTACAATACACTGCTCACAGACTCCCATCAGTGTGTGTTAAAACTGCATGCATGAGTCTGTTCAGGGCAAAAACACTGTTAACCAGTGAGCAGTTAGCTTCTGTTAGCTCAGCATGCTAACTGCTGCAAATGTTGTTAATAAAGTTATTACTTCTACTTAAACATCCCTGACAGGTTTTGTGGGTTTGTTATTCTAGCATAAATATGAGTTTAAACCAATGTTAAGCATCAGTTGCACCAACCTCCACCATCTTCCATCATAGCTCTGCTGGGGAAGCTGGGAGCACGCCTGAAGGACAACTTTTTTTTTGCATGTTGTCCTAAACTACCAGTTGGTGACTTTAAAATGCTAATGTGCATGTAACAGAGATAAAAAGGTTAATAAATTTCACCAAAACTGATGTGATTTCTTTCAAGAAATGCTACTGTAATTTGATAAGTTTTCACTGGTTGTTGTTTGTTTTTAATAAAGAGCATGATAAAACTTTTATATATTGCTAATCTTAAATACGGAAGTCGAGAGCGGCCGTTTTCCACAAGTAATTTTCTCTGTGGTTTCTCGTGATAATGACATGACAATGATAA